CCTGTAAGTTAGATAACATATACTACAAACATCTCATTCAGTTGGAAAATGAGAATTTTGACTCACAAATTCAGTATTTTGATAAATCCTGATACCATTTGAGTCTAGTTTCTTCTTTTACTTTACACCTCCCCGCAACCAATCTTTAATTTGTGCCAGAACATAGGAATCTATAAGAAAAAAATTCAAGTTTGATCATTAGTTTTTTCAGAGATTAATTAGATGCATGAAAATTTTGTTCAATTCATCCCAAGATGGACTTTAAAGACATAAAAATTCTTGTTTCCTACCAAAGTGTGGTACACAAGATCTTAGAATTGTATTGTAATTCTCTACCTGTGTCAAGGCAAGTTTGTTTTCCACTACTGTACTGACATAAAAAAAAAAAAAAAGAAAAGTACACAAATTTGAAAATATGGGGCAATTGTGATGGTATGTAAATTAAGTTTTGGAAACTAATGTAATTAACTTCATAACAATTTAAATGGATTCCATATTCATAAATGTGTCCAAGCCCAGCCAATGTGGCTCAGTGGTTGAGCATCAACCTCTGAACCAGGAAGTCATGGTTCGATTTCCGGTCAGGGCATATGCCTGGGTTGAGGGCTGAATCCCCAGTGTGGATCATGCAGGAGGCAGCCAATCAATGAGTCTCTCTGATCGATGTTTCTCTCTCTCTCTCTCTCTCTCTCTCTCTCTCCCCCTTCCTCTCTGAAATCAATAAAATTATCTTTTTTTTTTAAGTGTCAAAAACAATTTATCAGTGAGAGAGGATGGTTTTAATCTAAAAACCTACTCTTAAAAGAGTAATGGATAAATACAGTCCCACTAATTCACCTAAAAAGAGTTGAACTGTTTCTCTTCTGATCTGTGTCAACTATCCATGATAAAGACACCAAGACATCCTGGAAAACCAAAAATATATCGACCACCTAGATCAGCAGCTCTCAACCTGGGGGTCGAACAACCCTTTCACAGGGGTCACCTAAGACCATCGGAAAACACATATGTAATTACATATTGTTTTTGTGATTAATCACTATGCTTTAATTATGTTCAATTTGTAACAATGAAATTGGGGGTCACCACAACATGAGGAACTGCATTAAAGGGTCACGGCATTAGGAAGGTTGAGAACCACTGACCTAGATGCTCTCTGACTTTAAACTTACTATTCTTTCATTTAAAATGGCGTAACATTAATTGCTCAAGCTTTCATTTTTTAATTCTACTCACTTTGTTGAAGAAATATGGTAATTGCACACAAACTATACATACAGAATATGAAGAGCCTATTAACTAAGTCAGAACTAGGCAAAATTAATGCAGCTTAGCTGATTTTGTTGTTTTTCCATTGATTTTTTTTCAGAATGGAGGGGAAGGAAAGAGGCAGAGAAACATCTATGTGTCTCTCTCAAATTGATTGGTTGCTTCCTACACCTGTCCCAACGGGGCCAGAGATCAAGCCTTCAACCAAGGTACATGCCCTTAACCAAAATGGAACCCACAACCCTTCAGTCCGCAGGCCAATGCTTTAACCACTGAGCCAAAGCAGCCAGGACAGCTTAGCTGTTTTATTTTCTCCTAGCAATGCATGGATGACACCAGACTAATGTTCTATTTCGGAATTCCCTATCGGGCATTTCAACAGCAATAATCCCAAAGCAAACCCTAAATTTCCCACACTTAAAAAAAAAAAAAAAAAAAAAAGGGTCTTCATTGTCCCTGCAAATTCCCTATTGGAGGCCATCACCTGGCCCAAATCAAAACATCCTGAATCAAAATATTAACTTTTCTAGACATTTGCCAGTCCTTAACAAAAGTGAATTAATGCAGAATGATAGAGAAATTCAAAATTTAAAAGAAAGCTAATTTTAAATGCAAATCAAAGGTTTTTTTAAAGTATTTCCAAATTCCAACTGTTATTCTATATAAAGGATGTATATCTATCAAAGAATGTAAATGTGTATCTTTCCTTCCACAGAACCAGTATGAAGTACAACCTCAGAGGTGGCAACTCAGTATTTTATAAATTAGAAACTCACCCACTAAAGTATAGTTGATTTTACTAACAGTTCCATATTCTTTGCCTGTAGTTCTTTATAGCTATAATCCTGTCTATTCCACTTAGTACTAATCTAAAATTACTATTTATAAATTGTCCCATCAAAACCACATCAGGACACACTATCAAACCATGAAAATGGACTTCAGACTAGTGAATTCTACTTTACTTCATCATTTAGGTATCTGGTTCTAATTCTATAAATGGGTTGAACAGATATTCTTTCCAAATGAAGTCAGCTTTCTGGCCTATAAATCCTAGAAAACTAAAAGGGGGGAAAAACTCTAACACTAAATTTCAGATAATTTCTAGAAGTAATTTCATCTTTGGCTTTTACAGCTCTTACTTCACTTGGTTTCTCCCCTTGCTAGTCCTGTTTTAGCCATTTTACTCAGACCACTGCAGACCTGGCCCGCACCTCGTTTTCTCTCTGCAAGGGTAAAAATTACCCATTTCGTTATCTCCATACAAGTAAATTCTCATTTTAACAAGAAGTGAAAGAAAAAAGGGGTTGCAATCACTCAATTCTACTGTATCTCCATCTGCAAATTTAACTCCTTAGGAAATTTCTATTTGAACAGAACATTACTATGCAACTACTGAATTAGTATTCAGAAAATCTTTAAAACTTGTTTCCCTATTGAAACTTCAGATGAAATGACCAGACTGCCAGTTCATAATGGCATGATTGGAGATCATGCACATTTGTCATTGTGCTTCAAGCCTTTCCTCAAAGGTATGGACTACATAAAATTCTTTTTGTACTCAACAAATATGACTGTTTTCTTTCTTTTTCCTATGGCTTCTGAAACCAAATTTGGTTTATGCAACAAAAGCACATTTGCCAAAGCATTTGACTATATTAGCAATATCACTGTCTAAACCACCACGTTCGGATGAAACTCACCTGGAATCATTATATGAAACCTTGGAATTACATATTTCAGGTGACTTTAATGCTCCCTTGTTTAAATCTGAACCTTGGATACTCAAACTTTCAAAAATATCTGAACAGTTCATTAATCTGAAACAAATACTCAGAAAATCTTGAGATACTTCCTGAAAACCCTTCAATCATGTGAACTTCTTTCAACCTGTTATCAAAAATAAATTGTAAATAGTTGTTTCTGTTTGCAGGAAAGAATATGTTCTATTCAAGTGAAATATCTTGTTTTTTCAATTGTGTGTTTATTATAATCAAAAAGCATTGACTGAGTTCCCCAGAAGAAATTCTTTCTTTTGCAGAAATCAGTATATAAATCATAGAAGTCCATAACCTTAAGGAAGCTAACATGAAAACTATTGATTTTAAATCTCCATTAATCTTTTCATTATTAAGTCCATAAAACTAAGGTATTTCAAATTGGATTACATAGAAATCCATGAAAAGTTGCTCTTCAAATATTTCAAGTTTCCCAAAGTGTCAAATTGACATATCAAATTTAAAAGTTAGACACAAAAAGTATGAAAGCAACATTACCTTGGGATAAACTTGCCTTCATAGGCGATCTGATATATTTTTCACTAACAATACAAAGCTAAAAATGGAAAATAAAAAATCGAATCTTAGGGACATATGGACCATGTAGAAAAAGGATGAGCTAAGTTACCGGCCCCAAAAGCAATGATACCTGAGGCACTGGAGCCAGAAGAGACTGGTTGTAATTACTCAAATATTTTTTTTAAAAAAATCAAGCACATGATGAAATATTAAGGTTAGAAATGAAAAAATAAAACCCATACATTTAGGAGAAACTAGCAGAAGGGTCAAATCTAGAAGCATATTAGACCTCTGTACTACAACATCTCATTTTAAGACTATCATCTATGCTCAGATATTATATTCTCTGATAGGGCAAATAAGGAGTTTGATTTTTCACCTCCTCTACACAGTTACAAAGATTAATTTTCTACCATCTTGAAAATTTTCAAAGCTTTTTGAGAAACACACACAAATAATTTGGATTTAGTCGATTTTATTTACAGCTTGTTTTTTTACATTTCAGAGCATTACACAATTACATTTTCTCATTTTCTGACCTGCAAACAGATACCTTAAACGGAAATATTTTTTAAAGTTATCAAATTAGGTACATCCAAAAGGCAATAATTACACATGACAATTCACAAAGTGTAATTCATCAGGACGTATCCTAAGAATTTAGGAACAGCCAGTCAGGAGTAATCTGACCAAATTTAGCAACCAACTATTTACATATCCAAAGATAAACAAACCTATCTGAACTCCCAAACCAGAAGTTTGAAAGTTTTTATTAAATCCTCATTGAACAAAGGAGAGAGATGATTCAAACCTAGCCAGCCTTGACAATCTTAATCCCAAACACTTGAGCTATTTCCCCAGTCTGAAACTGAATAGCAAGCATCTGTTTGTTAAACACCTAAATATGAAGCTCTTGCATCATTATGCACATAGAAAGGTTACGTATTCATTAATTTAAAAACAAGTAGTCATTAAATATCCACACTATTTCCCCCAGCTCAGCAGCCCTTACAACAATCCCAAAAATGCAACTTGTGTCACACAGTGACAGGCTAGATTCTATTTATATATAGTATGTATGTATAAACACACACATATTTATGTGTATATATGCACACATACACACAGTACTAGGTACAAATGGCAAAAGTCCCTGCAAAAATTCATTTTCAGTTGAGGCTATGGCTCCTGTGCCTTAGGGTGGTTTTAGACTTTAAAACTGAAAAATACTACTAAAATCTCACAACCTTAAGACAAAATTTGATTGTTCAGTTTAGCTTCTCAGTCTAAAAATGGCTATAAGGTAAGTTTTTATTTTAAAAAAAACAGCCAATGAGTTCAATTTCTCTCTCCAATTTGGCCAGGCTATTTTGCAGAAGTTCCTCCTAACTAGACTAGAAAAATCTGTGGTACCCTTCAATGGTTCTTGCCTACCTTACTGTCCGTGTTCACGTTTCAAATTGTGTCAACAGAGCCCGTACTTCTGGGGTCAGCTGCTTGGCAGCCTTAGCTGCCTCTGTGATAGCCTTGCGATACAGGCCCTTTCTCTTCTTATTAAAGCGTGACTGGAAGTTTTCTAAAAAGGGGGACAGTTGCGATAGAGCAAGGAAAGATGTTGTTGGAGACCCGAACCATGAAATACGGGCCTCCTGTCGAACTAAGAGGCCGTTATCTTTCCGACTCACAGTTATAGTAAGAATACGGGCTGGCCACCAAGGGAAGCCATATATCTTGGCCCAAACAATGTCCCCTACACAGATGGTCCTGCCATCTGGTGTGACGCATTTAGAGACGTTTTTGGAAAAGACTTTCATTTTCAAGGAATTACTGAGCTTTTTCTCTTCCTTTGAAGAAGAGGATGTGGAGGAGGTGGAAGGTGCATGCATACTGCCTGGAGGAAAATCAAAGCTTTCAGAAGAACTACACTCAGAGTTGGAGGATTTCAAATCATCTGTGCTATCAACGCTACACACTGAAGCACTGGAAGAGTCAGATTTCTTTTGATTTAGGGTCATGTAAACAGAGAGATTGCTTTTGCTGCCCTTTTTGCCCAGTGTCTCTGGTTCCTGCTCACCAGGCACAAGCACTTCATTTGTGTCCTGAACCTCACTGCTGGCCTCTTCAGGGCCTTTTGAGGGACTCTGATTTTCTGAAGGGGCCTCACCTGCTGAGCGGGTAGAGGTGCAACGAGACTGGGGCTTGGGTGCCAGCTTGCCACTCCGCATTTTCTCAAGTCCCGTCTTCAGAGAAGAGTCATTTTCTTCATTCCTGTACCTCTGTGGTTTTAAACGAACCCGGGGTGGAAGGGAACCTGAGCTAGGATTCTGATATCGACGTGTGAAATGGACTTTTGAATGTGCATTTCTGGATGCAGAGGTTTCACTTTGCTTCTTTTGTGCCTTTTCTTTGGCAATTTTCAACACTTCCCGAGCTTTTGCATGATCCATGTTCTTGCTCTGGAGCACTTTTTTAGTACTTAACTGAGCTTTTGATGTATTCGCCTGAGCAGGAACTTTGACTACTCTACCTCTGCTGTGAGCAATATTTGAAACCTTAACCACAGCATTTCTTTTCTGGCTTTCATTTTGGTTTTTCCCATCCACTTTATGGTCAGCTTTCAGTTTTTTGTTCACAGTAGTTACGCTTTCATTTCTCCGTTTCCTATCTTCATATTTAGAAGAGTCACTTGCACTACTACCTTTTCTAATTTCTTTTTTTTCAGCAACAACACTGTTTTTACATTTGTCACACAGGACTTGCCTGGGTCGTAGTTTAATAGCATTCATTATTGAAGTAGATTCTTCCCTGTACATTTTTCGTTTGGGTCGCTTAATTTTCCGAGGAGGTGGCTGAGGTATCGATTGGTTATACGTGTCCCTGATAAACAAAGGGGGAGGGTAAGGTGCTCCTTCATGGAAGAGTGGTGGTGGTTTGGAAGTCCACAGGTTTTCAGCCAAGCTCGGCTCAGGTGGCGGGACAGGAGAAGGGTCGTCGGGAACAGCACCATTCACTTCACACTTGACTTCTGTCCCTTCTTGGAATGTATTACTTTGGAGCTGCATGGCTTCCGGTTTATCCTTATATTCCCTTTTGGGAAATACTGTCACAGGGATCCCGTGGGGCCCAAACCTTTGAAAGAAGTGAAAGAAAAAGAAAGCCATTAAGTTAATGGCTATAATACAATTTCTTAAACAATACCTAATATTTACTCACATGATCTTTCCTGAAAATTATTTCACATTAAAGAACAAAAATAAAAAACCACTGACCACCTCCTGCCCCCAAATCCCAAAGCCCTCCATATTTTATAATGGTCGCTCTAGCCAATGCCAGAATAGTTGAACTTATTTAGAATAGACCTTTCCAGTCTTGAATCAGAAAGGATACTAGATATCTCAGTATAAAGCATCTGACTTATGTTCACTCAAATATACATAACATGTCCAAGCAAATGCAATTATAAATTTGTAATATACTTATCTTCTTCTGGTTAGGATAGCTTTCAAAGGCTTCAGAAAACAAATTCAGCCTTAGCTACCCAAAAAATATTGAATCTGTAAAATCCCATTTCTACTTTATTAATCACTAAAGTTCAAAAATAGTTGCCCCTTGACTCTTACATCCCAACTCTTAAGCCCTTCATCACACCACTTTCCTACAACAATACTAGAAATTCAGTACCTCGAAAGCAGACAGATACAGAGCTGTGGATCCCTACCTTTTTAAATCACATCGCACAGGGTGGTCCCTAGCTGGTTTGGCTCAGTAGATAAAGTGTTGGCCTGCAGACTAAAGGGTCCCAGATTCGATTCCAGTCAAGGGCACATGTATGGGTTGCAGGCTCGATCCCCAGTGGGGGGTGTGCAGGAGGCAGCCAATCAATGGTTCTCTATCATCACTGATGTTTCTATCTCCCTCTCCCTCTCCTTTCCTCTCTGAAATCAATAATATATTTAAAAAAATAAAAGGTTGTTCTAGAAAAAAAAAAAAAAGATTCTAGTAGGGCAAAAATAGGTTTATAGTTTTGAGTCCAGGAAAGTTTATTTTTATATTACTTATTAATTATTGAAACAGAGTTTATTCTTATATATTTATTGTCTTTTCAATACAACTGTAAACCTTCTTTTGCCCCCCCCCCGTATTTTCACATCATAATCCAATAAAAATGCTTTAAATATAAATGTTTGCAACTATATCTACATAAATACACACACTCAAGTAAAAGTTTCACTGACTACTTAACCTTGTATTATGTGATATATGTTAGTCACATGCATCAAATGGACTTCAAAGCTTACAGGTCCAGACCCAGTTTGCAAAGCAATGGCATGGAACACAAATCTTTATACTATTCTCAATTTCTAATAAAACGGTCAAAAATCTTGTTTCTTATTTAGAATTAGAAATAACTGTGGCTTAATCTGCCGGGGCTAAACATCAAGAACCTTTAAACTAAACTCGCTATCCACAGATTCCTCCACATAAAAATAAAGTCACACTATCAAATATGTACATGTTAATTTTAAACACTATTTGAGTCAAATAGCATTAAACACAATCCTATCTAATAGAGATAATATGCTAATTGACCCTCACACAATCGCAAAGATGGGGGCGCACACAGCCAATAAGGAGGGAATATGCTAATTGACTGCCCTGCCATCAAAGGCGGCGCCCAGTACCCTCAGCCCCACCGGGGCAGCAGGTGTGCAGCAAGGCTCCGCACGCCTGCCTCCAGAGTCCTCCAGTCTTTCAGCCCTCCAGCTGCCCAGGGCCGGCCCAAGTCGCAGGCAAGCGTCAGATGGTGGCTGCCCGGGGCTCAGGTAACCAGGGCTGGCCAAGGGTAGCGCTGCCAGCAGTGGCAGCAGCAGCAGCAGAGGTGTGCCTTCCCCAACCACCAGGTCACCTCCCGCCCCTGAGAGCTCCTAGACTGTGAGAGGGGGCAGGCCAGGCTGAGGGACACACCCTCCAGTGCATTAATTTTCATGCACTGGGCATCTAATACAATTTATAATGCCAATCCTTTAAGGCAGAAATGCTTAGAAACCAAGGATTTGCTTCAGGTAGTCAGGCAGAACCAGACATTAGATGCAAATGTTTTATATATGTCTGTTTTCCTAGAGTCTTTGGTTCTCAGATTCTCCAAAATGTCCTTATGTCCCCGCAAAAGGTTCAGAATACCTTTGCTGGGAAAACTTCTTGACATTAGTAACTCATAACTAGGCTGTAGACACTCCTAAAATCAGGCAACAGAAAGAGCCAACATTATCAGGATATCTGGATCTAACATATAAATAGTTTTCTTCCTAAAGTCTTTATTAGCTTGGCTACCACAAACCAACAACTTATAGCAAATACTTAGAAACCACAAAGGGAAGAAGACAGCCTTTTTTTTTTATCTAAGGTGGGGCAAGTTTGGGTCTGGGCCAGTCCACAAAGGACACCCTTCTCACTAAAATCAAACTTTGCAAAAAGTGGGTTTTTATTCTAGCATTGCAGCTGGTCCCTATTTGCTTCCTGACTACTTAACTGCAAGGCACTTTGAGCATTTAGCCTTTTCTAATATATAGGTACTCAATAACCAATTTTTCAAGATACCAGGACAGAGGAGAGGTGATTTTAGATTTTAATGTAGAGCTACATAAAACAATACAACTTATCTGAGGTACCAACAAGTGCATAAGTGGAACAAAAAGATGTTTCTCTCTTCCTTCCTCTCTAAAATCAATAAATTTTTAAAAAAACTTTTAAAAAGAGCCCTACCTGGTATGGCTCAGTGGCTAGAGCGTCGGCCTGTGGACCAAAGGGTCCCGGGACAAAATTTTGAAGAGGGAAAATACTTAGGCTTAACAGTTATTTTGTGTCCAGGCAAGAGAAAAGGGGCCCCACCCAGCATGCTGGGCGGAGGCACAGGTGGGGCTGCAGGAAGCAGGATGCCCCGCGAAGAAGGGTTCAGTGGGAAGGCAGCGGCCCCACAGGCGCAAGCTCCTAAGAGTGCACCCAGGGCCAGGCTCTTGAGGCAGCCTCTGGCCCTGGTTACGGCAGACCCTGATGTGTCGCTCACCGGACAGAAAGCCATCTTCATTCTGGCACGTGCCTCGGAACTGTTTGTGGAGACTATTGCAAAAGATGCCTACTGCTGTGCTCAACAAGGAAAACGCTCCAGAGGAGAGATTTGGATAATTCAATCAAAGCTGTGGATGAATTTGCTTTTCTGGAAGGTACTTTGGATTGACTACTAAGCTGGACACTTGTGAGCCTTTACCTGCATCCTTCAGCTAGCCCTCTGCAGGCCTCAGCTTTGAAGGACAGAGTCCTTGGGAAGTCGCACATATATTTTCCTGTTCTAACTTTACCTAAGCCAGAATAATCTGTTAGTTCTTCGCTACAAGGTGTTCCATGGCTGTGTCTTCCGTTTCTGTCTGGATGCAAATGCTGCTGCTTGAGGCAGAGAAAAAGAAAATCATTTTTGTTCGTTGCTTAATGAACGACAGGGACCAAAATGAAGGTCTCTGATCAACTTAAAAAAATAAAAAGGCCAAAACCGGTTTGGCTCAGTGGATAGAGCGTCGGCCTGCGGACTGAAAGGTCCCAGGTTCGATTCCGGTCAAGGACATATACCTGGGCTGTGGGCACTTCCCCAGTGGGGGATGTGCAGGAGGCAGCTGATTGATGTTTCTCTCTCATCGATGTTTCTAGCTCTCTATCTCTCTCCCTTCCTCTCTGTAAAAAATCAATAAAATATATTTTAAAAAAATAAGAAAGAAAGAAAGAAAGAAAGAAAGAAAGAAAGAAAGAAAGAAAGAAAGAAAGAAAAAGAAAATCACTATGAAAAAGAATCCTCACCTAAGAATCCTATGTAAAGGTGAAACAAAAGTAAATGTGGAGTATTTGAGCCAGAATTCATGATGTGACTGTTATAGGAAGTAGAAGGATATTTTCTATTATTTGTGTTCCACTTGACATATGAATTTTACTGATGATTCTGGCTTTGATTAAATGAACCCTGTGTTTGCTCACTGATAAGCTTTAGAAAATTATGGTACTTGGTCAGAGATTTCTAGCATTACCAATCAATCCTATACCTAAATAGGTATCCCTTCTATGAGTGAAGCTCATAACCATCATCCAAATCCCCTTTCCAAAGGAATACCTCAAAGAAAACTAAAAATGTTACCAACTATTCGATTTTTTAAAAGCCAGACATATTGATAATTCCTACCTCTTATTCTGAAACTGTTTTTTTAAAATGCTAATATAGTGTTCATCAGCATTAACTTCACAGCAACATCAAGCAACTCATCTCTAACCTAGAGATGAGTTCTTTTCCTTCCTGTTTACAACAGTTTTATAGTACACATGATTCTAATTCTGATTGTTGCACCCTCCAACTGCAGGAGATTCTTTTTAAAATATTATACACTGGAAATAATGCAACAACAACAAACAAGGCATTGCAAACTTTTAGGCACACAAACAGAGGTCCTGGGGAATTCAATGCTCAGGGGTCTTTGAGATATGCCTGTGTTCTGGCTGGACCAAAGCTCTCTCCAATACAAGATCAACCTAACACAAAAAGAAAACTCCCTCCCAAACTTCCTTTCCCTTAAAGAATTTACAGTAAGAAAAAAAAAAATTATATTCAATTAACTTAAAAAATAATATCCAGATTTATTTCATTTCAAGGATAATTCCTTAAATTAGCAAGATAAACCATGGAAGAAGGAAAACAAAGCAAGCTTATTTTGGTTCACAGTTCATCTCTGTGACTGGTTATATCCAAGTTAATCTCAACACAAAAAAAATTCAATAGCCATATGCAATAGAAAATTTTACAAAATAAAAATGTAAATCTATACCAGTGATGGCGAATCTTTTGAGTTCGGTGTGTCGGCATTTTGAAAAACCCTAACTTAACTCTGGTGCCATGTCACATATAGAAATTTTTTGATATTTGCAACCATAGTAAAACAAAGATTTATATTTTTGATATTTATTTTATATATTTAAATGCCATTTAACAAAGAAAAATCAACAAAAAAAATGAGTTCGCATGTCACCTCTGATACGCGTGTCATAGGTTCACCATCACTGATCTATACCCTCAAAAAATTAAAAATACAAGCCAG